ACTGTTCAGAAAGAGACATGGTGGCAGACCGTACTCAGAGATGTGGGCCTGCATGTTGCCTATTCTGGCCTTTTGTCCTCAATTCCCTGTCCTTGGTACAGCTGGGCCACACACTTCAGCTGGAAGTGCAGGATCCACTAACCAACACCACCAAGACGCACCATGCCAGACGTCAACCCCGTTATGCTCATAAGTCAGGCAGTACTCATCTGTACCCTGACTCAGCTGTCAGGCTGTAGGATTTTTTTTCCCAGTCCACAGTGATTCTCTCTCCCTAGGCCAGCAAGTCAACAGAACATTCAAAATGAGTCTTTGCTAAAGCTGTTTTCCCACCCCTGGAGGCTCTCCTTGGAGGTGATGAAACCCCAGTCAGAGAGTTGACACCATCAATAATGCATTACTCTTTCACCGAGAATCAGTAAAGCAAGCAACAGGGCAAAGGGCTCCATTATCCCCCACAGCTCACAAGTGGACATCGTGATGGCGCATTTATCTGCTGCTCAAATGAACACCCCATAGTAACAGTCACTATTCTGTAATTATGCAATATGGAATAGGTACACTGAATAACCCAAAGGTACCCATCCTTTGAAAGGCTGCAACACCCTCATTTCCAGAATTTCTATTCATTTTGAGTTTTAAACACTCACAATAAACTTGAGCACAGCAGAGGGGTGGGAGATAGGAACCTCAGTTTTTAGAAAGCTAAAAGGCTCAGAGACCTTGTTCAGAGTCATATGAATCAACTCAGTTCATACTTATTATTTGCTGCATGTCATACACGGTGCTAAGAACAGGGTATGTCAAAAAAAAAAGTTGATCATCTAACTGGAGAAAGAGATATATAAAAGGCCAATTATCTTGCCATAGGAAAGGAGAGGCAGGCATTAGGAACACATAAGAAGGAATGATTGCTCTCCCTGGGGAGAGAGGATAAATGGCAGATCTGGGAAGGCTGCCAGGAGGAAGTGACATTTGAGTTCGGCTTTACAGGTTTTCTTTTCTCAGAGAAAAGAAAGGGGAAATAGCATTAGGCAGTGAGAGAAAAGTATCCAGGTATGAATGCAGTGACTGTTTTCAGAGGAACATATAGGGCAGATATACACAGGCCTTATCCACTGTTCTAAGGAAACTGAATTTTTGGTATCAAATAGAAAATGAAGCAGCATCCTAAATTTCAAAGGAATAGTCTGATCATGATTAAATTATTATTATTATTATTAGTTATTATTATTATTATATTGGCAGTACTTGGGTTTGAATTCAGGGCCTTGTGCTTGCTAGGCAGGCACTCTACTACTTGAGCCACACTCCCAGCCCTTTTATCTTTAGTAACTTTTTGGTTAGGGTCTTGCATTTTTTTACTCCGGCCAGCTTGCACCACAATCCTCCTATTTACAATTGCAGAGTACCTGGGATGACTGCATGTGTCACCACACCCAGCTCATTGGTTGAAATGGGATCTTAAGAAGTTTTTGACCTGGCTGCCCTTGAGTTGTGATTCTCCTGATCTCTGCCTCCAGAGTAACCAGGATTAGAGGCCTGAGTCGTTGTGCCTGGCTCATGAGCAAATTGTGCTTCCTAACGCCAATCAAACAGTGAGGGCACGTATGGATTGGGGAGGACCAGCAAGTTGGAAGGTCAGAGGTGAAGACCTGCCTTAGGCACTAGGGGTGGGCTTCAAAGGAGAGCAGGTCTGGAGACTCTGCAGACACCTCAGGAAGGCCTCAAGAGAAGGTTTCCTAAGACTGCAAAGCAGGTAAGAGGAGGCTGATGAGAGGAGGGGGACCATTAGCTGAGGAAACACAATGGAGTGGACCTAAGGAATCCACAAGTGTACTCTGTGCTGGGGGCTACCCTGTCGTTTATTCATATCCCACACAGTCTATGTACCACAAGCTGAATCTGCTCAAGTCACCAACTTAGGGAACTGAAATGAAAGTCTTAAAGGTGTCCCTGGCCCACTAAGCTTGTGCCCTGTAGTCTCCCATGACTTACCCTGTCCTTCTCTGTGTGTAAGGAGGCCAAGGCCACAACTTTACTCCTCAATTTCTCCCTCTTGCCCAAAGGTTAGGCTATCTTTCTTGTGAAAGAATTTCTTCTCCCATCCTCCCACCCTCTCTGCTTCCCCCTCATTGCATCTCTCCTTTCCAAAGTATTCCTCTCCTCCCACTCCTCATGCACTCCCATTCACACATGGCATCTTGGTAGAAATAGCACAGGTAGGGCAAAAAGCAATGAATCAGAAGTTGGAGCAACCTGAGTTCCAAGGCTGATCTCCCCACCAGATGACCTCAGGCTCAGTGACCTCAAATAAAATGAAGATAAGAAATGAATAAGAACCTTTGTTTCTTTCACGGGATTATGGTGAGGATGAAAGGAAAGAAATAGCTTGCAAACAACCCCAGCAAAAGGCAGGAAGGAGTGTGACAACACAATTGTCTACCAGATTGTGAGTTCCTTGAGGGCAGGGACCAGGTGGTTTGGGTCTTGGGGACCTAATTATTCCTGGTACAGAGTGAGTGCTTGATTGAGACTGTTGGATTAAGAACAAGGACCGCGGTCACTTTCTCCACCATCCCAACACGTACACAGAGTCGATCTTGCCTCCCCCGACCCAAGGCAGGCAAGCCCACAATATCCTTGTTTGGAAAGTACTGCTCTCCTCCTGGCTTATTCCAAAAACAGCCCGTTCCTGGAGGAAAACCAAGCAATAGTCACGCTGCCTGGATGCCTCCGCTGGGCACGTTTCACCAAGTCTGGGTTCCACCCCCTTTAAGGAAGTTGCTGAGAGCCGAACCTCCTTCTCTGCTCCAAGGAGCCCCAGCTGGGTCTGTTCCTACCCCCGCCGCCTTTGTGCCCCGTGCACAGCGTGGTTTTTTGGGGTTTTTTTTCCACAAGAGCTCGGCCGCCTCTACTGCTGTTTTCATTGATGCCTTGAACAGAGCTGGCATGTGTGACTGCTATAAACGGCGGGGCGGGGGGGGGGGAGGAAGGGGGAGGGGAGAAGGGAGCAGAGCAGAGCGGGAACCAAGTAAAAATAGCCTGGCGCGTCTCTCTGCCAGCTCCGGACGCCCTTAACCCTCGCCGAGGTGGAGAGCGCCGCAGCGACCTCTCCTTATCACAGGACGTGGGAGGGGTCTGCAGCCCAGATCCCACGCAGCGCCGGGGCTACCGGGAACAGAGACCAGAGAAAACTTTGTTTATAGAAAAGGAACCAGGGGGCTGGGATGATGGGGAGGCCGGGGTTGGGAGAGAAAGCGCCTTCTTCTCGCTTCCAGCGCTCCAGCCACCTGGCTGCAGGCACTGCTACGTGCCGGCTTGGCCAACACTTTGCCCCAGCGCGGCCTTGAGCCTCTGAGCTATTTTTAGAAACCTCCTCTGCGGGTGGGCGATCAGAGGGCGGCGGGGGGGGGGAGGGGAATGGGGAGGCTGGGCTCGGAGCCCTATACACCATTCTGAACGTCTGCTCTTGTGGAGTAGGGACCAGGGGGACGCAGACATGCTGGCTTTGCCCTAACTCAAGGAGATGACATTAGCTACTGAACGGCCCGCTGCCTTCAAGCCCCAGAGCGTGTTTCTTTCAAAATCCACAGTTGCCAGGTGCATGCTTGCTTCTCGTCTCTCAGGGAATAGGGATTTTTTTTTTTTTTTTTTTAGCTTTGCAGCCTACGCTGTGGGGCGGGGGTTAGCTGCAGAGTTATGACCTCGAGGAAAGAAGGTCAGGAGGGGTCTCTGCACCCCCTTTTTTTTTTTTTTTTTTTGCATTCCGGCAAGACAGAGGGACAATCTCCGCGCCACACCCCCTCCCCGCCCCACGCTGCATATGGGTAACCATATGTGAAATGTACGGCAGCCCCACCAGACACCCGGCTATTAATAGAACCCGGGAGTTTGCTCTCTGTGTCTTTTTCCTGCCACTGAATAAGGGAGGATCACACATACCCCACTCCACCCCCACCTCGGCGCACCGTTTCTCCGGGAAGGTAAGGGGGCTGCCCACATCGATCCCCTTCGTGACTACAGGTGCCCCAGAGCCTATGGAATAGTCCAGTTGTAATGACAGCGGGGTCAGAGCGAAAAGAAGGAACACAGTCCTGGGACGCAAAGCCCAACAGTGCTGTCTGCAAGCTCAAGGCCAATTCGATAATAGAGAAAGGGCAGCTATTGGGCTGCCGGAGGTAGGGGCAAGAGTACAATTTGCAGAGCTAGAGCGACCTCCTCAAAAACTGCTGCGGGACAAGCGGCCGCAGACCCCCACCTCGCCGCAGCCAGAAGCGCGCAGCCCCCACCGCCCGCGCAGGCTCGGTTGCGGCACGAGCGGACGCTGTCCCTGGTGCTGAAGGGGGCCGCGGTCAACGCGCCCTCCCCGGGTTTCGTGTCCCCGAGGTGGCTGTAACCCCCAGAGGGTTGCAGACCTCTCCCAAGCCCCGATCCGGGCCGGAGGGTCTGTTGGAGGTACCTAAGTACTACCAACGGGCTTGTCCCCCCCACCCCAGCACACACACATACTACGACCGGGAGCTCCCCGCGGTGCTGCGGGGACCGAGAGCTCGAGCTTGAAGGGTAAAGCCGAGACAGCGGCAGCAGAGGATCAAGGCACTGTAGGGAGCAGCCCTGGCCCCAGGACCACCCGCCCGGCTCTGCATAAAGCCAGGACCACGGATCCCTAACGGAGCTCAGAGCAGAGGGCAGGGGAGCGCGGCTGCCCAGGCTCTGGACTTGGAGGAAGGGGAAGGGAGCAGCGGGTGGTAGGGAAGGGTGATGGGTGACAGCGACTCTTGCATTTTCAAGAGGGAGGGGACCTGACACAGGCACCGTCGTCGTCTCCCCCCCCCCAACACACACACACACACACCCCGGCAGGAGCAAGCGGGATGGAGCTGGGGAAAGTTTGGCACAGCGGCAGCGGTGGCGGCGGCGGCGGCGACAGCGGCGGCGGCGCGGTGGTCCGGGTGGGCGGCGGGGTCGCGGGAAGCCCGGCTCTCTCGCCTCCTTACCTCCGTGTTCTCGGCAGCATTCTCCGCCATTTTCCTCCTTAGGAGCAGGCAGCGGGAGGAGTGTTTCATGCCCATAAGAGCCGGCAAGGGTTTGGGGAGACCGAGATAGTAGAGAAAGAGAGAGAGCTGGTGTGGCTTTAAAAAAGAGAGAGATCCAGAGAATGGGAGAGGGGGGGAAAAAAAAAAGCCAGCCCCTGTCGTCAGCCGAGACAATCAAGCACGGTGAAATCTTTCCTGCAGTCTCCACTTTGTTTTATTTTCCTCCCTTCTCATCTGCTTCGGATTCCTTTGCACGGTTCCAAGTTCTTCTGGAGCACCCGACCCCCTCCCGGCCGCTCTCCCCCGCGCTGCGGGCTCGGCAGTTGGGAGGCAGCCCCGAAGGCTCCGCGGCGGCGGCGGCCCCTCTCCCGGCTGCTCGCGAAGTCCGGCGGGCCGGAGGCAGCCGCCAACTCTCTCAACTTCTGCCGATCGCTGGGCGAAGCCACCCGCCTCCTGCGCGTCTCTCCCAGGGGCTGAGCCGGGTGAGTGGGGGCGGGGAGGAGGTTCGGAGGAGCGGGCGGCGGCTGGGCGCCGGCCGCGCGCCCCCAGCGCCCCCGGGCCGCCCCCTCCCCAGGCTCGCGGGGTCTCTCCACCGCCCCCACTCCTGGCAAGGCGCGCAACTTGCGCGGGGACGCGGGCTGCGCGGACGCTGCAGGGCCGCTCGCGCGTGGCTCGGAGGAAATCAGGCACCCGCAAGGCTCTTGTAGGGTCTCAGCCCCGTGCGCGTCCTCCTGCCCGGTGCAAGCTCCCGGCCAGACTGGGCCACAGTTCCCTCTCCCACGCCCCACCCCAACTCGCCATCTCCCCTGCCAATTCCTGGATCCTTCCTGGGCGAATTAAGGTTTGAGGGACGAAGGGGTTAGGACTCTGGGTGTGGGGGGCGGGAGGGGTGGTCCTTAACTCCTTCAACTCTAGGGCAAAGTACGGTATCATTACTTAGCCTGTTCTCTACTCTGTCCAAGGCAAGGGACAGATGACCAGGGGGATGAAGGTGGCAGCCAGAGGTGGCTTGGGAAAGAGGGTCTGACAAAGTCAAATGCAAGAACCTGCTGTCATGCTCCCCCTACCACAGTCTAACCTGGCAGACCCCATCCCACACATTTCCCTTCTCCCTCCTCGCCCTTCCCCCACCGTCACCAGCTCTTGAAGTCCCTTTTATGGGAGAGAGGGAGGATGTCACGTACCCATTAGGATTCTCTTGATCCTTTTTTAAGGGAATATGGGCATGGGCGGCAGCAGGGGGTGTGAATTTTTATACAATGCTTTCCGTCTTCACTTTAAGAGCTTCTTTCTGTCTTACCGGCCATCTGTCAGGCAGTGGGAGATAGAACAACGTGGGGTGGGGGACTCCACTCTTCCTTGCTCCTTTGCAATAGGACAGTCAAGCCCACTCCTTAAAAGACAGCTTGCGCTTGCCAGCGTTCAGTTTTAAAAGTGAAGGACAGAGACCTCAAAGATTTGCCTTGAACACCCTGGGTCTCTTCATCTCTGTCCTTATTTAGAGAGCTCTGTTCCGAATGTCCTATTTACTTTTATCATCACCTTTGACAGCCAGGAAGTGTAAGACTGACTGTCCTCAACTAACCCCCGTCCATTGAAGAAAAGGGCTACAACCACGCTCAGCAGTAAAGATGTCTCATCTGGCCAGGTCCTGGGGCAGAGAGACATTGTCATAAGTGGAGGTGAGAAGCGAGGACCGGGGAAAGGAGAGGATTGGGAATGAGAACGATGAAACAAGACATGAGGGTTGAGATAAAGGGGTGTGTGTGTGTGTGTGTGTGTGTGTGTGTGTGTGTGTTGGAGAAAAATTCAAATGAACACCCTCCTTAACCTTTTCCTTTCTCACACAACAGACCTGGATTGGAGTTGGGAGTGAGTGAGTAGAGTCCCTGCCATCACCTTACCACCTCATCATTCCCCCATTGCATGGTGCAGAAAGTGGCTGTAAAAAATGGGGTGAATGTAAAGTGACTTTTACCTTCTTGAACCTCCTTTTCTCTAAAGCAGCTTCTTGGAGATAAAAGATTCAGAGAGACACCTGGTCCCCCACACCAAAAAAGCCTCACATACTTGTACAATCAAAGAAAATCAGAGGGGAGAAAAAAAGGATCACCCCAGGCAATTGGTCCTGTCTTCTTATTTTATAGGTAAGGATGCTGAGATCAGAGAGGCCCCCTGGTCCCCTGAGCAAGCTGAGAGAGCATCTGAGACCAGTTCCCCAGCCTCCCCCACCCCGCACTCCTTCTGCTTGTGCACCCATTCTGTGACTAACTGGGGAGGAGGGGAGCTGAAGCCAGCTCCCACCGAAATAGGCTGCTGCATGCGTGATTATGTTGCTATGAGAACCTCAGTGGGGGTGTTTCCTCCGTTCTCTGTTGAAATCTTTTGCTTTGCTTGGCTTCTCCCCAAGCACAGACACGGCTCCCCTTGGACTGGGGAGTGGAGAGGCTGAGATGAAGAGCTGTATTTTCACGGCAAGAGTTTTCTCTTCCAGTGTATCCAACCCAGAGCCAGCTTGGGGCTGTGAGTGAGGCACTTAGGCCATTGGGGTGGGTCCACGGTGACTGGAGGACTCCCCTCCCCGACCCCTGAAATGAGCCATCTTGGAGCAGAAAGGTGCTGTTCTTGCTGTGGAAATACCTAATTATAAACTGACAAGCAAAATCCTTGTTGCTATAAGAGATCAGGTTTGGGGTGACTAGTTATAAAGTTATGCAGCAGGACAGTACCTGAACACCCACCCACAAACCATCATGGTTTGTGAAACTCCATGGTGCATGGAAAATGCCTAACACATAATGTGTACTTATAGTACTATTTTGTCACCATCTCCACCATGAATGAATGAATTCTTGTGAATTTTGTATGAATCTATCAGCATATTCTTTCACCAGGTTAATTAGTGCAATCATTCCACATGGAACTTACTGGTCATCTCTGAATGTACCTAGCTCAGTGATAGACCTAGACAAGAGGTAACGGACCTCACTGGACTATTAGTGAGTTCTTAGTATCTTGAATGTTTTGAACTTTTGTAGAGCCTTTGAAAAGAGTAAAGAAGATGTGTGATGACAAAGGGTACAGTGCTCACCGGGGTATGAGTCTGATAGGTAGTTGAGACATTAGATCCTACCAGACAAGGAGTTTCTGCTGGTGTCATTTTCCTTGCACCAGAACTTTGAGACAAACTGTATTGAGTAGTACATGTAAAGTTCTTAGAACAATGCCAGTCTAATGTTTCACACACATGTGAACAGTTGGTAGGCTTTGTCTTGGCACATGGGTTGAACTTCATAGAGCACTTTTTATATGCCGTAGACTCTAGACTTACATGGGTTTTTATTGTTCAACAACTCTTTGAGTGTATGCTGTGACCACCACATAACAGATGAGAAAAACAAAGAGAATTGTCCATGGGGTAGAGTCAAGATGGAAATCTAGATGACTGGTTCTGTAGCAGGACTCCTGAGAAGGTAGCCAGGTTCAGTGGTTCTTGCCTTGGTTACACAGTGGAATCATGTTCCTCTCCCAGGGACTATGATTTCGTAGGTCTAGGCATTAGGAGTTTTTTCGTGAATGTGATGGTACTGGGGTTTGAACTCAGGGCTTCATGCTTGCTAAACAGGCACTCTATAGCATGAGCCATACCTCTTGCCCTTTTTCCATTGGTTGTTTTAGAAGTAGGGTCTCACTTTTTGCCCTGGCTGGCCTGGACTGCCATCCTGTTTTAAGCTTCCTGCCATAGCTGGTGTGATAGGTTCATGCCACCACACCCAACTTTTTTTCGTGGAGATGGGGTCTTGCAAACTTTTTTTGCCCAGGCTGGCTTTGGAGCCATGATCCTCCTGATCTCATCCTCCCAAGTAACTAGGATTACATGTATGAGCCACTGGCCCCCAGCTAGCATTAGGATTTTTTTTAAAGACTCTAATTCTAATGGACCTTAATAATTGAGGACAATAGGATACAGATATTCAGAGATAAAAAGAACTGCAGAGGATGAAGCTACAAAAAGGAGTCTCCAAAACTACAAGGACCTCTCCAACACAGAGGTTTTTATGGAGGATCAACCCCAAGGCCTTGTGCATGCCAGGCAAGTGCTCTACCACTGAGCCATATTCTCAGACCTTGGTTTTTTGTGACAGTCTTGCTAAATAGCCCAGGATGGCCTCAAACTCCAGATCCTCTTGCTTGCCAAGGAGATGCAAGTGGGATTTCAGGGACACCACCACCTCTGGCTCTAATACAGAGCTTCTTTGGGGCCATGGAGTAGCACAAAGTTGTGTTGAGGGTTGGGCTGGCATGCAAAAGTTGGAATGAGACCCTTGCAGAGAGCTATAATTGGCAAAATTCTCCAGCATTGTAAGATGCCACAGAGGAAGTAAATTTCCTGTCACTAGTTTAGCTAAACTCATTATCTGGCAAAGATGTTGGAGAGAAGGTACAAACACTAGAAGGTTGAGCAAGGCCTATAAGGTACCATCTGTACCTTCTAGACCTCCCCAATTCTTTTTCATCTCTGAGCCCATGCTGGGACCCCAGAAGATGACTGTGTAACTGCACAACTCCAGGAGCCATCCAATGCTTCCTTTCTGCCCTCCCAAATCCAGTGACCCAGAATGAGGACATAGCTTCCCTAGCCTGAGCACTGTGCCACCTGGGAAAGGTGCAGCTCTGGCTTGCTCAGTGTGTTTGATACAATAAGGGGAGATGTTAAGATCCATCTGTAGTTTCCTCCTCCCCCTACTCACACGTGGCCAGGACTCACATATGGCCATGCCACACTGCAGTGAGTCCATGCCTCCTCAAAAATCAGGCCACAGCCATTATCCATCACCACTAATGGCAGCTAACCCAGCAGTGTTCTGAATGTCTCTGGGCCAGATGGAGCCTAGCCAAGGCTGCAGCAGACAGCTACCTGGCTAAGCTTGCAGGCAGCCCCACACCTGGGCAGTTTTCCTACATGAAAGCCTCTGCAGACCTCTTTCTCCCTAACTCAAGGCCCATTCCTTCTTAAACTCCATTCCAAAGAACAA